CTTCCCCTCTGGATCCGGCTCAGCTGTGCCGGGTCCCTCCGCCCTTCTTACCTTCTGGGGATCAGCTGTTGCTGCCCCCGCTGCTGTTTCCTCTGCTGCTGCTTCCTCCTCCGCCTAGGGTCAGTAAGTTAGTTAGTTAAGGGGGCACACATCCCTGGGGGTCTTCAAGAGGAGGTTAGATAGGCATCTAGCTGGGGTCATCTAGACCCAGCACTTTCCTGACTATGCAGGGGGTCGGACTCGATGATCTATTGAGGCCCCTTCCGACCCTAACATCTTTGAATCTATGAATCTATGAATAAGATGCTTTCCTGTGCAGTAGAGCTAATTACTGTGCAGTAAGCATCCATGTCTACATGTGCAGATGCTTATTGTGCAGCAATTGGCTCTAGTAGCGAGTAAATTTGCTAGCTGCAAATGCAAGTAGCAATTTTACTTGTAATCAGTAACTGTGCAGTAGTGCACATGTAGACACCTCACTGGGAGCAAATGTGCTCCTGGTCAGCTGGGCAGAAGGGGCGGGAGATTGCTCCCTATCCCTCAGTAGCTGCCTGCTGCCAGGGCAGGCTCTGCCACTGGAGCCCGGGAGGGGACAATGTCCTCCTGCCCTGGCAGCAGAGAGACCCAAGCCCCTACTCTGTGATTGCAGGGCAGGGGTTGGGAGATCCTTATCTCCCAGCAGCAGCTCTATGGTCATGGGGCCAGTGCTGGGAGATAAGGATCTCCCAGCCCAGGTCCCATGACTGCAGGGCTCAGGTTCAGAGATAAGGATCTCCCAGCCCTGGCCCCAGGATCATTGTCCCCACCTGGGCTCCAGTGGCAGAGTGTGCCCTGGCAGATGGCAGCTCCCACAGCCAAGGAAAAATGTCCTAGCCCCTGCCAGGAGACAGCTGTCTCCTGGCCCCTGGGCTAGCACCTAGGGGGAGCCTAGAGCTCCACTTGGCTGCTGCAGAGGCTGGTTGTAGGGCTACAGAGAGCGGGAGCAGTCTGCTACTAGAAGCAGCGAATTTGCTTCCACGTTCCTGCATGTGTAGACATGTGCCTAGAAACATGTACTTCCAAGTAGTCTACTCGAGAATAAATTGCTCCTGGATCTTTTGCACGTGTACCTAACCAGCACCAGTTAGTGGAATACTACCACCTCCTGTGTCTGACACCTAATACTCCTATTGAGCCCAAAGTTACATTTGCCTTTTTATGACTGCAACACATCACTGATTCATGTTGAATCTGTGATCCACCAATCCCCCCAGATCCTTCTCAGCAATACTGTTGCCCAGCCAGTTGTCTCCCATTCCATCCTTGTTTGCTCATTTGCATTTATTTATTCTTCTTCATTGTGTTGAACTTCATTCTGTTATCTCCAGCCCAGCTCAACAATCTATCAAGATCCTTTGGAATTCCACTCCTGTCCTCCAATGTATCTGCAGTCCTTCCCAGTTTTTCATGTCATCTGGCAACTTGATCAGGAAGCTCTCTATTTTGGCACCCAGATAATTAATAAACACATTAAACAGCACTGGAACCTGGGCAGACTGTTGTGCAACGCCAGCTGAAACCTACCGTTCTGACATTTTTCCATTTATAATTACCATTTGCTGATGGCTGGAAAATGATATTTAGAGGTTTGCTTTTGGAAAGTGTCTAGTAGGTAAAGTAGATATGCATTAAAATAATGGTCCAAGGCAATGGCAAGGGTTAACTGGTTTCTAAAAGCCTGTTTGTGACAAAGTTTCTTCAAGGCCCACTGTGTCTGGAACCAGTAGACACCCTGTCTGAGGCCAACAGACAAGTGGGCATGCACAGGCTGAGAAACTGAAGACATGTACCACACTGTTCCATAACATGAGACAAGGGGCTCTGCTGCAGTGGCCGGGTCACAATGACCAGCTGCAGAGCCCTTGGGTTTTCTGGTTCTGGTGGATGGACCAAATCTAGGCACTGGTAAATGACCAAATTAAGATGTACGCATGTCGTGGGTTTGGGAAACAAAGGAATATGCTGACAGAACAGAATGTGGATAGTATGATAAAACCAATCAGTGATGCCCAGAGATGAAGGGTCATCAGAGGAGGAAAAGAATACAAAAGGAGGGATTTCAGAGCAGCAAAGGGTCCCCAAGGTGGGAGCCTGAGGCCACCATGGACAGAGGGCACACCACCAACCCATCTCACCCACCCCACTGGGAGGGTGAAGGGTGGTAGACCTTAGCCCTCAACCTCCATTCTGCTGACATCTGACATTCAAGAAAGAACCAAAGGGTGGAGCTCACATACTGGCCAGACATACCTTCCCTCTGTGACAGCCCTAGAACTGGTAGATATAGAATGAAGGAAGGTTATTTTGTTTGCCTTGTCTGCATTATTCATATCTGCTATCACTGTGTATCGATAAAATTTGCCTATTAGCGAATGAAGAAGTCGTGGTTGGTCTGAGGGTTTGGGTCCACCCAGAACAAGGTATCTGGGTCAAATCCAGTGCCAACATTTGCTAGAGGTTATTGAACTAATATACCTGACTGGTAGTAATTTTATCTAGCCCGTATTTCTCCAGTTTACTTCTGAGAATCACAATATTGTATAAAACAGTGATCTATCAGCTCCTGTCATTTTTAAAAGCTATTTAAAAGATCATGTAACACATTTGAATACAATAGCTCTTACTATAATTAGAAAATAAAAACATAATATACAGCCAGTCTACAGATATCTTTAAGTTTCCCATTAAGTTACTGGGAGTATAGTCTATACCTGATAGAATAACTTGGAATTTTAGCTGAGCATTGAGAGGAGAGTGGAGCTCTTCCTGTGTATCAAGTCAAAGTAATTACCTCTTACACTTTTTACAAAGCTTTTTAACAGCATCCAGAGTGATGTTCTTGCAAAAATTGAGCTTCACACATTCCAGACTGCTATGGCAGAAGCTGGCCAACAAGCATACCCTGAGGCCAAACAAAAAAAAAAAGACATATTAATTCCAAATTCTACCAAATCTCTTCAAGAGCATTTATGTGCCATCTACACTGAAATCTAGAAATTGAATTAATTTAGGATTATGGAAGTGATTGCAATCTTGTTACTGGGAAAATTACACATACACACATATATTTATAGATATATTTCACACAGAAATGTAAGCACATACATTCAGCCTTATACAAGGTGCTTATAAAGTCCTTCTGCAACTTTAAACTTCAATAACTTTGGGTATCCACATGATAGGATCAAACTGTAAATGGTGATTGAAAATCTTTAAGTTTTTTTAGCATAGTATAAATCATGCATAGGGTAAGGATCACAATGCAATTCATGAAATCGCTCAACAGCAACTGGAAAATGTTTTCTACGAGTTGGAAAATCAGACTGAATGTTATATCATGAAAGAAGACAATTATGTTGAAGTCTAGAAATTTGAACTGTATTGTGTTGAAACTTAATGAATTATGCTTTCAATCATCATTCACAGTTTGCTTCTATTATGTGTGCATCCAATGTTATTAATGTTTAAAGTTGCACTTTATAAACACACTGTATTTTTTTTTTTAATTAAAAGTGAAGATAAAAAAGGATAAAAATCACTAAAACACTAGCGTATGTTAAAAGCTTTGTCAGGAGGGTTAGGAGAATTTGTAAAGTCCCTGAAGCCAAACTTGAAAATGTAGTTCTCAGTGGGCATGTCTGCATGTTCATTAATGCACCATAATTACAGCCTATTAAGTTTAGTACCTGTAATAACAGGTACTAACTTAATCCATGTAATTGGCACTACTGAACAGTAATGCTGATGCACACTTTCTGTGATACTAATGCGCAGTAGACTAATTAACATGGTTTTTGCCTGCTGGGCTAACATGCAGTAGAATTTGTCTACTGTGTATTTAGCATCTCGTATAGACATGCCCAGTGTTAGCAAAAGATAGTACTACATTCATCCAGTTTAAACAACTTAGTCATGGTCTTTTTTAAAAACGGCTAAAGGATAGAGGGACTCCAGTGAGGACTGATCAGTATGAACATTTCATATGTTAAAGTTCAACCATTTATGAATGTAAAATTACCACACGGAATTAATTTTCCAAAAGATGCTCTGAATCCTGTAGCTAACCAATGTAGCCTCAAAAGTAGGCTGCACCTTGGGGGAGGGTTGTAACTAAAGTCCTTAGGGTATACACAAGTGTCTTCAGTTAAATCTGGAATCCTTAGAGAGCACACAGTGCTTTTTCAATCCCTGCAAAAATAAATCCTATCCATCAAAAGAAGGATATTAGACCACAGCCTGAACCTACTTAATAACCAGAAATCCTTCCATACAGTAGTTTTTATAGTCATAAAAATGCACTCTAGTATCTGCCTCTAGGGACATTTGAGCAATTAACCACCCTTCAGAACAGACCTAAATTCCTTTCTCAAGCCTACTGGAAGTGTGCCTCCAAAGTCTGGCACTCTAACCCACTGGGTATAATTATATTTATGTAGCATAGCTCAATGATAATTAGCTATTCTGACCTCTACTCAGGCAGAGAAATATATTTTTCTCTCAGAGAAACTAGCTTTCTGACCTATATCTCTCTAGAGGCAGACTTTAGTGACTGCTTCAGTTTTTAATGAACTGGTATGATGCCAAAGAGGAAGGCACCGGGCAAGTTTAGGATACTCATAACTCTCCACAGTATTTTCAGTCAACATTATTCAAGGTTACTGAAAAATAAGGGAGTAAGTCCCATAGATTTATAATGTTTTAGGGTACCTTCATTAGTAGGTACCCTACTTTCAGCATCTGGATATGGATACTTTGCAGGATATGGAATTGAGTATGAATCTTCTTTTGTACCATTTCTACCTCAAGGTGTCAGCCATTCTTTATAATAATTCTCAAACTGCTTTAATTATTTCTTGTGGTTGGCAATGCCAGGGTGATAGCTACATCAGGGAAAGATGACAGAAAGCATACTGATAGAGACGGAAGCAGTCAATTTTCTCTACTTCACTCCTTGAGCATTCACATCATCTTTATTTTCTGAGGCATTTTTACATGGTTTTGTAACTGAGCCTGTGTCAATGTATATGAACAATTGAAATGATTAGTTGAATCCCAATCCCATTAAGTCAGGAGGCATTTTGTCACAGTTCAGCTGGGCCACAGTTTTTTTATCCAAGGCTAATTGTCATGTCAAATCAATAAACTATGAGATTATACATAATGTAGATGATTAATAGAAAGCTGCCATATATGGATCTTCAAGTCTTTTTGACCTCATGTAACTGAATTACCTGCAACATATTATTACTGAAAGCATCTAATAAAGATTTGGGTGTGAGGATAAATAAGGATGAAACTGCACAAAAAAGCTCACAAATGTTAACCAGATGAAACACAATCTAGATTAGGGCTGTCTAACTTCAAAGCACCCAGGGCCACATGCATCACAGCCAATATCAGCAAAGCCTTCATACTGCAGAAGTAGCACTAGGAGGGACCACAGGCCTCCCAGGTGGCATGACTTGTGCAAATAACAATTTAAGAGTAAATGATCTCTCACTAACTATCGCATCCAAACATTGGAAGTTGGAACAAGAAAAATAAAAATCTGTATAATCACCGTATGGAAAATAAAATAACAAATAAATATAAAAGCTTCTCAGAATAATCTACAGCCTACCTTTATATCATGCCTGACAAGTACAGATAGAAGGAATCCTGATCCTAAATGCAATCAAAGAATTGTTTGATCTGGCAGAGTATCCATAAGCACATTGCATACATATGTTGCAAAATGTATAGGAGATCTAACTCTTTATATGCAACTGCTTATCATAAGAAAACACCTCAAGCATGGCCACAGTTTGGGCAAGTGTGGCCAATTGTCTGCCTATATCACTGCATGGAACAACAAGGTCACAGCACAGAGAGAGAACACCCTTTGTAGAGCCACTAGTCTGACTACAATGCAATGGGCAGACAAGGACAGTAAAAGGGCAGAATCTGACTTGGCCTCCTTCCTGGTTCACTGCAAGTACAAATAAAATGGTGCAGAGTATAAAGAAATCAGTGCCTGGTAATGGGGATGGAAAGGAAAAGAACTGTGACTTTGAGTCAGTAGGAGTACCTACATGAGATGCTACTGCACAGTGGTGATTGCAAATTTATTTAGTCATTGTATAATCAAGTACTAAATAAATGCACAGTGGGTGCATCTATATGAGACGCTACACACTGTAGTAATAAAATACATCACTGTAATTTGTTGCTGTGGTGACATAGCGTCAGCGGGCACAAACCGTGATGCCGACGTTACTACGCAGTTGCAATGAGCTACTGAGCAGTAGCATCAGAAATGACCTATGTGGCATCAGGACTGCACAGTAATGTCAGTTATTGCACAGTCCAGCACATGTGTAGGTGCATCCAGTAACTGGAATTATTGCGCAGTAGCACCAGTGAACACCTTTTTAGTGATGCTACTGCATAGTAACCTAATAATACTGTGCAATAAGGTATCAGCACTGTTGGTACTATGACACACTACTGTGCAATAGGCCTGTCCGAAGCAGCATTTAATTTGAATTTGGACTCAGCCAATTCAGAGGGATAGTGATTCGATTCAGTGATTTGAATCACTGTCATGATTTGATTCAGTCGAATTGGATTCGGAGATTCAGCTGCCAAATCAGCCGATTCGGTGATTCTGCCACAGACTATAATGGGGAATAATTAAAATACCTATAACTTTGTCATTTTTTGCAGATTTGGATGAAAACAGCAGGGATGGTAGCCCCTTTTGAGGGCATGAAGCCTGCCAAGTTTCAAGGAGATAGGTGCAGGGGTTTCTGTGAAAGTGCCCCTCAAACTGTTGAAAGCAAAACTCGTGTCATGTGTGTGTGTTAACTGGGTTTCTGGTGTAGCCATGTTGCTCTAAGAAACAGGCAGGAAAGGTTCTTTGAGTAGATGTGATATCTTTTATTAGACCAACTGAATAGTTGGAGAAATATATCTTGGGAAGCTTTTGGGTTTAAAAACCCTTAGTCAGGCTAAGGAAGCATCTGCAGTTGGTGTGTGTGCTCTTTCTGGATGAAATGAATAGTAAAGAAGTCAGAGGCTGGGTTGTAGGCAAGAAAGTCAGTCAGTGAAAATGTAAATTGAGGCATCAGCGGGTGAGAGACAGGCTGGGGGGGGGGGGGGGAGAAAGGGGGATGTAGCAAGTAAAAGTGGGGAGGTACCAGGGGAGTTAGATGTCAGGCAGATTATAATGTGTCATAAATCCGAAGTCTATATTGAGTCCGCAAGTTTTTGTATTGAGGAGGTTGATGAACTGAAGTTCATAGGCTCATCTGTCAAAAGTGTTTTGTACACTTCCAGGTCCACCACCAAGTGCACGAGGGACTCCCCCATGCTCCCATGAGATACTTAATCCGCCCCACCATGTCAGCATTCACAAGCCACGCCTGGTACCTTAAGGTATGTAAAAAAAACGTATAAAGCTATGTCTATGGCTGAAACACTGATTCGCCAAATCAGAATCGAATCTTCAGATTTCATTTTGACAGAATCGAATCGGGACACTGATCCAAATCAGTGAATCAAATCACTATCCCCTGAATCAGGCTGAATCCAAATCCAAATCAAATATTGCCTGCTTCGCACACCCTTACTGAACACCGTCTCACTTGGAACATGGTCAGTGGACAGGACAGGTGTTCCTGGGCAACTGTGGCCAGATCTTGCCACATCTGGCTGTGGGTTACCCAACAGTCCAAGGGGTCGCATTGCAGCAGCTCCACATCCTCAGTGGAATAGGTAGCCACCATGGCCTCTGCACTACCTGCCAGATGGTGCAGTCTGGTACCTCTGGACCCCAACATTGAAGCCATGCCCTTAGCCCATATTGGCAGCAGCTGTGGTGGAGGAGATTGGCTGGTGCTTTCAGCACTGGCATGGGACAGT